AAAAAAAAAAAAAAGAGTTAGGAAAACAAGACAGGTGTGGTGGTGCACACCTGTAATCCTAACACTCAGGAAGCTGAGACAGGAGGATCGCCATGAGTTTGAGGCCAGCCTGGGCTACAGAGTGAGACTCTGTCTCAAGAACAAAGCAAGGCAAAGGCAAAAGCAGGCAAAACAAAACAAAACAAGAGTGAGGAAAACACTGACATCTCCCAGTGTAGGAGGCCATCGAGCGCAGCACCACACTTTCCTGTATATGCAGCTGGGAGACAGCCCCAGGCAGCCCAAGGGGATGGAACTAGGCAGTGGCCGCTTCTGGGAGGCGCTGTTGACCGGGAGGAGGCAGAGGTCTTCCCTTCCTTTCCCAGGGTCCATGTCCCAGTACCTGGAACTGCTGCACAGATTACTTCACTTGTCTGGACTTGGCAGCTGCGCTTAAATGAGGGCTCCAGAGAGAAGAAGATTACCTCGAGTGAGGAGGGTGTGGCCAGTGTAATCGCCAGTGCACTCCTAGGCAGAAGGCAGAGGCAGGAGGGTCAGGCCTGGGGAGGAGGACAGTGTACTGGCTGGAGGCCATGGGTCACGCACCATACACAGGCAATTTCTGGAAGGTGGAAAGGGCAAGAAAACAAGTCCTCAGACCTCTAGAAGGAGCCCTCCCCTGCCCACTCTTTTCTGCCTCCTGATCTGCAGAACCATAAGAGAAGACCTCTGTGTCCCTTTAAACCACCGAGTCTGTGGGATCTTGTTATGGCACCAAGAGAAAATGACTTCAGGCAGAAGCCCAAAGGGTAGCCTGTCCAGAAGCCAGGTGAGGAAAGAGCAGCAAGGAGGGGCGCTGCTCAGCATCCAAGAGGGCGGGTTCCAGAGCGGATAGGGTGCTTGGCACGCATCTATCTGAGTAAATGAAGGCCACACACGGAGTAGTGATGGACAGAAAACAAGGAAAGGGATGCTACGCAGGCATGAGTCTGGCTTCTTTCCTGGGGGTGCTTCCAAAGATGATTACTTTTTTCTTTTTATTTCCCCCAGAGAACGCTAATTCCTAACTCCTATCCCCCCAATTCTGGGCCTCAAAACCATTCATTGAATAGGGTGCCCCTAGGGAGCATGTCTGGGCCCTGCGTGTACTCCAGGGTGACCCTGGATGCTCTGCTAGGTGGCCCTGGGTTTACCTCACCGAAGGAGTACAGCACTCAGCGGTCTCTGGCAGGAGGTGAAGGATGGCTGCTGCTGATGCCCAGGCAGGCGTGGCTGTGAAACCCTCTTGAAGCCCAGGTGGACCTCACCCCTTCGGCTGGCCAACTTCGCTCTGTGCTGCAGCAGTGGGGACTTAGCAAGCTTCCCCGCGCCAGCTTTTATCTGACCTGTGGGATTAGGACGTGGTACCTGGAGACCTTTGGTCAGTGGGTAACCCGGATGTGGAGGCCTGCCTTTCTCAGGGGTCTCAAACAGAGCGCTTCTGGGTAAGACCCCTCCCCTCCTGGTCTGTACATGACAAGCCACTCTCAGATGGTCGTGTTCCCCTTCGTGGTAGTTTGGGGTTGAAAAAGGACCCCAAATGCACTGCAGTGAAAGCCATAGCTCTCTCACCAGAAAAATGGACATTCACACATTTTCCGACAGCATGTTAATCCTTTCTTTTTCTTTGGTACCGGGGATCGAACTAGGGGCCTTCCGCTTTCGAGGCAGGTGGTACACAACTAAGCTAAATCCCTGACCCTGTTCATCTTTTTCTTTAACCCAGAAAACAATCCACTGAACACCAGGATTCTGAAGCCCTGCTCTGTGCATTTCCAAAGTAGGGTTTCCTCCCTGCTGGTGATGCCCAAGATGATTTTAGGGAATACACAAGGCTAAACATTTATTATTTTAATAGTTGCATATTTAAAGTATTTAAAATCTGTGATTTCCCTGGTCTTATTACCTGGGATGAGTAACGGGTAAAATAAAAAGTGAGTCAATCTACAGATAAATATTAAATATAATAGTTCAAGTGAACTACCAATCAGAAAGAAGTGCAGCCGTGATTCATAGGTGACCAGAGTCTGGGAAACAGTACCTAGGGCCTTGGAAGAAGGTTTAGACCCAATATCCTCTCCTTGTTTTTCTCCTTATTATTTTTGAAAACTGCTGGTTGCATTCATCTCCCCAGTTGGAAGAACACTGCCCTTACTGCTCGGGGTGAGAAGCTGGATCCACTGTCCCTTCAGGGCCAGGGATGAGGACAAGAGGGCTCAGCCGTGGCATTTCACTTGCTCAGTGGGCACAGATTAGCTTCAGGCCACGGCCACGGCCACAGCAGCACCGGCGCGTCCTCCCCTGTGGTCTGTTCGCACAAACGAGTTTGACTCGTTTTGTGCCTGTGCCTTTGTGCGAGTGTGAGTGTGTGTGTAAGAGTGTACACAGAGGGTGTGTGGCCAAGTGGGAGGCAGGGGAAGTAAATGGAGCAGACCTTCTCCCTGGAGGGAGACCCGGGATGCTCCTGTCCCGGGCCTGAGCCAGGGAGAAGAGTCCCTGGGGGGCGCCACGCAGAATGCACCCCCACCCCCAGGAGCGGGGCTGTTACCTCCACTGGCCCAGTGTGAGGGGAGGGAGGCGGCGCGGGCAGAATGAGGGCTGCCACAGGGCTGGCTAGAGAAACACTCACACCTGTGCAGCCTCCGCCCCGCCTCTCCTGGAAGGGATATCCAGCCCAGACTTCTGACTTCTTTGACTGCCCTCTCCCCTAATTTAAAGAGAACTTTGTCCTGGTTCCCAGAGAGGTCTATTGACAGAAGCTGCCAGGCAACTGGAATGTGGGACAACTGTGGCTACTGGTCAAGTCTGGGCTACAAGTCTGCAGGTACACTGTTAGTTTTCAGCTTTCTTCCTTCCTTTTTTTTTTTTTTGGTACCAGGGATCGAACTCGGCTCCTTGCACTTGCGAGGCAGGCGGCGGAAGCACTGAGCTAAATCCCTGGCCCCCTTCTTTCTTTTTTTGGCTTGTTTTGGTTTTGTGAGACAGTGTCTTGATTTGTAGTTCAGGCTGACCTTGGACTATGTAGTCTGCGCTGGCAGTGCACTCACAGAGATCCTCCTGCCTCAGCCACCTAGGTGCTGAGATTACAGGTGTGCACCACCACACCTGGCTAGTTTGTAGTTTTCTACACATCGTCGGGTTGGGGCCCAGAAATAAGTGTGCCTACAGCTGACGAAACTGGGGTCTGTTAAGCAACAGGGGCATACAGAGGTAGGAAGCAAACGTGGGCTTGGTCTCCTCTTTGAGTCCTTCCTGGGTGGTGGGCAAGGAAAGCCAAACCCTGGTGCTGGGTGGTTGTCAGAGCTGGGAGGTGGGGCCATCTAGGGCAGCTGGCCAGGAGTGACATTCGGCAGGATACTGAGAGGACAGGCCACACCCCAAGGCTCATGTCGACAGGATGCAGGTCAGGCCCCAAGAGGCAACACAAGCCCGGCAGTGTACAGTATTCTGACCCCAGCTTGTTATTCTCTGTACCCAGTTTCTCTTATCTTTGAACCTCCTACTGCTTCAGCAAGACCTGACACTGAACATCAACTTCCTAGGTGACGCTGGGCTCCCACCACAGACTGGCAAATCCATTATGCTCTCTCCCAAGTCCCTCCCTCGCCTCAGTCATGCCACACCTCCAGCTCCACACTGGCCTTTACCCGCTCTCCTTCCATCCGCGTGGGCTCCCTCCATCCCTTCTTGGCACTGCAGCCAGCATACTCTCCCAAACATGCAAATCTGACCATGCCGTGCCCCTCCTCAAATCCTTGGCTTTCCACCTCCCCGAGCATCAAACCCAAACCGACCACGGCCACAAGGCCCTTCGTTACCCGGCTGCAGCTGACCTCTGGCCCCTTCCGCAGCCCTCTCCTTGGCCACCAGGCTTTGGTCACTTTGCTTTTATTTCTGTCTCTTAACAGGGCCAAGCTCTTCCCCTTCTGAGGCTTTCCACATGCTGTTCCCTGTCTGGAACATTCTTCCCACCACTCTTTGCCTGGCTAAGCCTTAGCCATCAATTAGCACTGGGGAGAAATGTTGTTTTCTCAAAAGAGCTCTCCCCAGCTGCTCCCCTCCAGATCCACACTCTGATGGCACGGGATTAGTATGTTTCCTCTTGTTCCTCATTAGCCTCTTGGCCCAGTAGGAACTAAGTAAGTCACTAAAGAAATGATGTAGAATTAGGCAAGATGGCCTGGCAGGGGCCACTATGGCAACTCTTCATCCCAAGATCTAAGAGCGCTTTGCAGCAAGAGCTAGCTGAAGAAACACCCGTTGGAAACCTGTTTCCACATCCTAACATGAGATGACAAAACCTACCCCAGGATCTGTTGAAGATTTATATACCACAGCGAGCCTGCCCCACAGTGAACAGCTCATGGTGTGGCATACAGCCTGGGTTCAAAGTGCTAATCCCCTTTTCCTGTGCAGAAGTGGCAAATGCCTTACATTTCACTCTCCTACACCCACACCATGGAGGACAAGAAATAAAGGGAGGTCTGAGGGGCTGGAGGACACAGTGCACACTGTGACACTGCCCCGCCTCTCCCCTCACCCAGGCCGGCCCAGGAAACCCAAGCTAGCTAAGCAAGGCTTCCAAGGAAGCAGGATGAGGAGGGATGGGAAGGGACAGGTGAGCCTGGGACCTATTATTCAAACAGATACTTGACTAGTTGCAAAGAGGGAGAGGTTGATAAGGGAAGAGGAAGGAAAAGACTGGGCGTGTGGGAGGCTGGGGCCAGAAATGGGGATCAAAGTGGTCAGAGGGCAGGGGCTGCAGAAGGAACAAGTCCGAAGGAAAGGAAACGCGGGAGGTGGAAGATTTGGAGAACTGAGGCGGGTCAGTGGCCTGCTACATGGAGAAAAGAGGAGGAAGCGCCGGGAGGGGAGGGTGGAGGCTGTCACCGGGCCTGCTCCTAAGAGCACGTGATGGGGATCGCCCGGAGGGGGGTGCTGAGGAGGAATGGGGGACAGGGGTGTTCCCCTACGCTGCCCACCTGCGGGTCGCCTCGCAGCTCTCCCACGTAGTACTGCTCCAGCCAGCGGCGTGCGTTGGCCGAGTGCCGGTGCGGGGGTCCGTCCAGGTCGGCGCTAACGTCCAGACCGGCCCGCGCCCGCAGCAGCTGCTCGCCCCCCGGGTGGTGCCGCACGAAGCCGGTGAGGTCGTAGAGGCGCGCCCCGCGGCGGACCCAACAGTCGCCCGCCGCCAGGCGCCGCTGGACTTCGGCGGGGGAGAAGGAGGCGGCAGGGGGCGGAGCAGGGGCCATGGTCTGGGAGCGGAGCTCACAACTCGCAGCCCGGAGTCTGCTCCGCGGCCGCGCGGCGCGCCTCTAACATCTCGGGAGCCCGGGCATCCGCAACGGGACAGCCGCCACCGCACCTGCTCATTTGCATGGCGCGCTCCCATTGGCCGCTCCTCGAGGCCGGAGCCGGAGGTCCCTCCTCATTGGCCGACGGGAAGGTCGGGCAGGACCGGAGTGGGACGGCCCGGCGCTCACCAGGTGGCCCGGGCAGGTAGAGGGCGTGCCCACCGGGTGTGTCCCGTCGCGGAGGGGGGGGAGGAGGCGGGCGAGGCGGGGCGGGGCTTTCCGCTGCGGGTGGCTGCAGGGACATCCTGGGTGACCTGATCGCCGCTGGAATAAGTATCTTCTGTGGCAGTTTCGTGGGAGAAATCTTGCATCTCCGTCTGCAGCAGGGACCAAAGAGGGAGAAGCGGGGCGGGGGTCTGAATAAAGCTAGTGAGACACTTGGTTCAGGTGTAAAATTTAAGGTGTCACCCCAAAAGTTGGTAATCACAATGTATGATAGTTTAATGTAATATTTTAGAGAATTATATTATTGCACACTGTGAATGTACTTAATGCCACTGAACTGTACACAAAATAATTGAAATGGCAAATTTATGGTTTGCTGATTCTATCACAATTTCAGTATATATATATATATATGAATTTTTAAAAATTATATTGGCAAGCCATGGGCAGTAGCTGGGAAGGGGTGTCTGGCTACCGCTTTTGTGAGCCAAGTTTTATTGGAACCAAAGCAGGGTAACAATAGTGCATGGGTGGATCATGATTTTATTTAGTTTGGATACTTTGTTCACCGTGGATTTTTCATGTAATAACTTTTTGTTTTGTTTTTTGAAGCAGATCTCCATATGTAGCCCAGGCAGGCGTCAAACTCATGGTGATCCTCCTGCCTCAGCCTCCCGAGCGCTGGGATGACAGGTGTGCACCATCATGTCCAACACTTGTAATAATTTTGAATTTTTTAAATAATGAAAATATAAATATTATTAATCTTGAAACTGAATTTTTGGGCATGCTTTTACATGTTTCCCCCACGGTCAGTGGCACACTCCTCCAGGGTAGATGGAGGAGCTCCCTGGAGCACCCGGAGGGGGAGCAGGCTGAAGCCCCCACCACGCTGGAGCGAGAGGAGGACTCTGCTCCTGGCAGCGTTGTTGACTTGGCCCGCAGAGGTGAGCATCTGAACAAGATTTGTAATCAAAGTCTCCTGGTCATGAGGCTACCCCTGCCCCTCTTGGGAGAGGTATTTCCAGCATTCCCTCTGTGCCCTGCTAGGGCGGTGCTGTGTGCGAAGCCTGACTCAGAGCCTCAGGGGCACCCCAACAAGAGAAGCACCAGTTTCCATAGCTGCCCCTTTCGGGTCCCCGTCCGGACCTGTCCTGATTTACGCTCTGGCAGTAGGTAAGAGTTCTAGGTATCTGTGGGTCTGTGGCTCAGCTGTCCAGCAGCTAACATCAGGCCCAGGGCCTGTGTCCCTAGACTTAGCGTTTTGCTCAAGCAGTGAGTACCTAAATAATCGCCCTCACCCCACTTCCACACCTCCTCTTTCAAAACACTCGGCATGTACACCAGCAGCAGAGCACCACTCACACGTGTGCTGTGTTTCCTGCTGATGGCATCTGCTGGACACCATGTTGGGTTCCTCGCCATTGCTTCAAGCTTGGTCACTGTTTGAAGTTGATTTGGAACAACATTGTGGTTGATAATAAGAACAGTGTGTATGGCACATTAACAATTAGTTAGCTATTTTTTGTTTGGTTGGTTGTTTTTTGAGACAGGGTCTTGCTACGTAATTCAAATTGACCTTGAACTCACTATGTGATCCAAGGTGGCCTTGAACTCATGGTGATCCTCCTGCCTCAGCCTCCTAAGTGCTGGGATTACAGGTATACAACACCACACCCGGCTCAGTTTGCTATTTTAAATTTAAAATTTGCACATAAACCAGAGTATATGTAAGTTTTTTTAAAAATAGTATAATTAACTCCTTGAATCTGTCTCTCCACTCATGAAGTAAGAATTTACCAGAAACTTGTACCTGTTTCTGTTCTCTAAACATTCACCTCCCTGTCTCCTGCTACCTCTTGGTAACCATGGCCCTGACTTCTCTGCTTATCTTTCCTTTGTTTCTTATCTTTAATATTTTATCGTATTGGCCAGGCATGGTGGCATATGATTGCAATCCCAGCACTCAGGAGGCTGAGGCAGAAGGATCAACTCAAATTGAAAGCCAGCCTGGGCTAGATAGGGAGTTCAAGGTCAGCCTGAACTACATAGTGAGACACTGTCTCAAAAAAAGTGTATATTGGGCTGGGGATTTAGCTCAGTGGTTTTGCCGCCTCTGTGCAAGTGCAAGGACCTGAGTTCGATCCCCAGTACCAAAAAAAAAAGACACAAAAAACTGTGTGTGTGTGTGTATATATATATATATTATATATTATATATTATATATAACATATATTTATATTGGTGCCTATAGAATATATTTGTAGATCAGCTTGGTTGGTATTGGGTTTCATGAAATCACATTGTGTTAGTTTTATGTCTCCTTGTGTATTTTGCTCAAGATTATTTTAAGATTCATCCATGTTGAGGGTCATTATATTTAGTCTTTTTTTTTTAGGTACTGGGGATCGAACTTGGGTTCTTGCGCTTGCAAGGCAAGCGGCGGAATCACTGAGCTAAATCCCCGGCCCTGTTGAGGGTCATTGTAATGCATCAATCTTTTCACTTCGTGTCATAGTCCACTTGCAATTTAGGTATCCATTTTCCTTTTCCTCTTACTAAGAATTTGACTCTCAGCTGGGGATTTAGTTCCATGGTTCCACCGCCTGCTTCACAAGTGCAAGGTCCTGAGTTCGATCCCTGGTACCAAAAAAAAAAAAAGAATTTGATTCACCTGTCCCCTATTATGAACATTCTTATATATATGGCTAAGAGTTTCTATTATTTACATACCTAGAAGTGTAATTGCTATTTTCTAGGGTACACAAGTGTTCAAATTTACGAGACAATGTAAACTTAACATCTAAGTGGCTATGTTCTACACATCCCTAGCCCTTGCCCTAGCTTTGGGAATCAGGCAGAGATGTCCAGCCTTTATCTCTTATATTTAGAGTTGTGGGCCGGGGATTAGCTCAATGGTTCCGCTGCCTGCCTCGAAAGCACAAGGTCCCAAGTTTGATCCCTGGTACCCCCCGCAAAAATAACCCAACTTGCAATTTTTATTTATTTTTTATTTTTTATTTTTGATACCAGGGATCGAACTCGGGACCTTGCACTTGCAAGGTAGGTGCCGGAACCACTGAGCTAAATCCCCGGTCCAACTTGCAATTTTATATTTAGAGTTGTATTAACGATCCCACAATCCACACCCTGTCCTTTAACAGTGCCTTGCTTTATGCTTGGAGTTTTCTTTTTCTCATGTAAACTTGAGAACAATTTTGCCAATATCTTTGGGGACGCCTATTGTGAAAGCAACTGTACTGAGCCTATAGATTAATTTGAGAGGAATCCTTTTTTTTGCAGTACTGGGGATCGAACTCAGGACCTTGCACTTGTGAGGCAGGCACAGTGCCACTGAGCTAAATCCCTGGCCCTGCAGGAATACTTTTATGATATTGGCGGCTTCCTCTTCTGGAACCCAAGCTGTTTATTCGTGTGTCTTCCTTTCTCATGAAGTTTTATGTTCTGCATCTGGGGAAATGCTAGCATTTGTTAAGTTGATTCCTAAATATACAATTTTTTTCCTATTATAAATGATTTCTTTTTACAGTAAGCTTCCATTGAAGAATGGCATTTGTAGAGAAAGGCACACAAATCACAATTGTGCAGCTCGGCGAGTTTTCACACAGTGGACTCACAGCCCAGGGAGCGGAGCTCGAGCAGCTCCACGGAAGTCAGCCTCAAGCCTTTCCTTGCCCTGCCTCACCACCTGCCCCAGAGAACACTGCCATGTTGATTTTCAAACACTACATTACTTTTGCACACTTTGGAACTTTCTTGAATGAAAAATACAGGGTATATATATTTTTTGCTACATTATTTCACTTGCTATTGTTTGTGAGAATCATCCCTATTGTTAGGTATAATAGTACTTTTTAAAATTTTTATTTTATTTTATTCCATTCCTCCCTCAAGCTTCCTCCCCTTTCTATATACAAAAGCTTTGTTTCCATTTTTTCCTTCTATTTTCACTTTTTTCTTGTCCCTTCCTTCCTTCCTTTCTCTTTTTCCCTCCCTCCACCCTTGTTCCCCTTCCCATTTGAACACTTTCTTCCCATTCCTTTTTTTTTGGTACCGGGGATAGGGGATCAAACTCAGGTCCTTGTGCTTTCGAGGCAGGCACTGGAACCAATGAGCTAAATCCCCGGCCCATTCTTCCCATTTCCTAACGTCCATCATACATCTCAGTCCTTATTTCCACTTTCAGTTTCTCACACCAGAGAGACAACGCCGTATTTACACGTGTGTCCGATTTATTTCACTAAGAGTATGGTCTCAAGGTCCATCCAACGAGGTATAAGTGTCTGAAGCTCTTCCGTCTTTATGGCAGAGTAGTACTCCATTGTATTAAAAAACCCCACATCTTCTTTATACACTCGTCAGTTGATGGGCATTTGGGCTGTTTTCAAGATTTAGCTATTACACACTGTCCTGGTATAAACATGGGTGTGCATATATCGCTGTGGTAGGATGCTTTTAATTCTTTCAGGAGGATACTAAGAAGATGTATAGCTTATAATAGTACTTTGTACATTCTTATTTCTGTATATTATTCTGCTATATGAATATGCCACATTTAATTTATCTAATTTATCCTTTTTTTAAGTTTATTTTTTGAGACAGGGTCTCACTATGTAGCCCAGGCTGGCCTCAAAATCATGGCAATCCTCCTAGGTCAGCCTCCCAAGAGCAGGATTACTGGCATGCACCACTATACCCAGCTTGCTCACTATATTTTGCAAATCATTTATTTTTTTTCCCAGTACCCGGGATCAAACTCAGGGCCTTGAGCTTACGTGGCAGGCGCAGTGCTACTGCGCTAAATCCCAGGTCTTGCTTACTATATTTTGAAGTCACATTATTTGGTGAATAAAATTTCAACATATAAGGTATAACAATACCTTTCCGTAAATTTAAATTGTATCATTATGAAGAAAACTTCATCTCTTGTGAATGTTTTCATGAGCTTTATTTGTTTATCATCTATTTTGAGACAAGGTCTCTCTAGGTAGTTCAGGCTGTGTTTAAACTATGTAGCCCACGCTGGCCTCAAATTCTGGGAATCCTGCCTCAGCCTCCCGATGCTAGGATTGCAGGCGTGTGTCACCATGCCTTCCTTTCTTTCTTTCTCTCTCTCTCTCAATTTTTTTTTTTTTGTATCAGGGATTGAACTCAGGACCTTGCACTTGTGAGGCAGGCCCTGGAACCACTGAACTAAATCCACGGCTCTTTCTTTCGTTTTTTTTGAAACAAAGTCGCACTATGTAGTCTAGGCTGTCTCAAACTCAGCGATCCTCCTGCCTCAGCCTCCCAAGTGCTGGGATTACAGGCATGTGCCACCATGCCCAGCCTATAAGATTTATTTTGGTTAACATAAAGCTAGTATGCAGGAGGCTATGCCTGGTTTCAATCCCCAGTAACACACACTCGCACACAAAATAAAGACCTGGACAAAGATACAGTAGGCTTATGCTAACCAGAATAAAGCTTGTGTAAGAATGTTAATAGCACATAAAATCAGTATAAAGCCAGAAATGAAATCATTCACAAGAGAGAAAGAAGTTCTTTTCATAAAGATAGAAGATAAACTTACTAGGAAGATATAACACTAAATGAAAGAAAACAAAATTCACAGGTAACATTTGGAGGATAGTAGAGAACCAAACTATTATTCTGCAAACTGGTAAAAACAGAAGGGGGACCCAAACACTTATCCTACTTTTTTAGTATGAACTTAATCTCAGGGCAATTAGTGGATATGGAAATTTCTTCTTTAAAAATAATTCCAGCTCAGTAATGCAGAAGGATCGATAAATTAGAATAATGTTGTTTTGCAAACTCCTAAAAAAACTAGATTGCCAGGCATAATGGTGCACACCTGTAACTCCAGCTACTCAGGAGGCTGAGTTACAGGTATGCACCATTATGCTTGGCAATCCAGCATTTTTAGAAGAAATGTCCATATCCACTGTTGTAGTCAGGGTTTGCAAAGGAATAGATTTAATACAGGACACATATTTTGCGGGATTATTTTACAATATTCACCTAAAAAGTCAATTGCAGAGGAGTGCAAGAGATTTTTCCACACACTAGAGACCCGAAGAATCTGGCCAAGGACCTGGATCCCACAGCAATATCCGGCAAAGTCCAGCTGAAGGCCTAGAGCCCAAGGTGAGGTCTCTTGCAAGTCTGTATCGAGGATCTGAGGCCCAAAGGCCAGTGGTGGAAGCAAGAAAGCCTGCGCTCGCGGGGTGAAGGATTTGTGCCACCAGACCAAGGGGTCTACATCGGAGCCAGGAAGCGACACTCAAGGTGAAGACCGGAGCTCCCCTGATGAGAAGAGCAGCCATTCCCGGCAATACTGAGGACCTGAGCTCCTCTGACCATGGAAACACCCAAGTTAGCATCAGGGAAATGAGCCGCTGCAAGCTTTTCCTAGAAGATCAACAGCCACGGATCTTCCCCTCTGGGTCTCTTTTTATGCCGTTGGCAACAATCCTCAGGTGGGTCTTCCATGCCCGGGACCACTTTGATTCAATTCAGCTGGGCGTTCCAAGTCGTCTGTTAGTTAATTCACCACATCCACTAATTACCCTGCGATTAAGTTCATACAGAAAAGGTAGGATAAATGTCTGGGTCCCCCGTATTTTATTGTGGGCTCTACTTCAATTTGGGTCCTGTGTCCTTTGGATGTGGTCCCAGGTACCCTTAAAAGCTTATGGACTGTCTGGTATGGATGGAATTCTTTTTAAACTTTGTCCATACCCAACTCCCTGCCCTACACACCTCCTCCGCTGTACTGACATCGCACACCAGCGTGGGACATTTATGGCACACTTGTTGCAATTGAAGAGCCTACAATCATACATCTCATCACACACGTATTGCTTTTTTATTTTCAAATTAAATATTGGGAAATTTTTACAAATTATTGAAAAGAACAGTTGAGCTCAGCGACTGCTCTCAGATTGCCTTATGTCTGACAATGATCCCACCGAGCATCTGTTCCTCCATGTGCCAAAGCTCGGGGTCATTTGAGACCTGTGCTATGGCCTCTTCCTTTAGAATGCATCTTCTGTAATTCCTTTTTCCTTTTTGTTTTAGAAATGGTAGATTTTAAAATGACTCAAGAGGGATATGATTCACTTGGTAGTAGTGAGCACGAGAGCTTGGTTACACAGCTAGTGCCCAAGTCCTCTTTAACTTCAAGTTAATGTTGACTCTCCTGTTGCCAATGGGATTTTTTTTTGGTATCAGGAATCAAACTCAGGATCTTGCGCTTGCCAGGCAGGTGCAGCGGCACTGAGCTACATTCCCAGTCCACCACTGGACATTTTTAAACCGACAGATAAAACTTTATGTATTCACTGGGTACAACACAATGTATTGAAGTATTTATACACTGTGGAATGACTAAATCTACCATTAAAATAAAACAAAACATATGCACTGCCTTACATAGTTACTAGTTCTGTGGTGAGAACACTTAACATCTATTAGTGATTTTCAAGAATACAATACATGGTTATTAACTATAGTCACTATGTTGTGCCACAGATTATAGAAAAATTATTCTCCTGCCTGAAATCGTCAAAAAATTGGACCAAACATATGAAGCAATGCTTTGAAGACATTGGACACCAGACAGCAAAAGGCAGGTGGGAAAACAACTGATGTGTACTCCCGACTGACTCAGCTTCCTGTCTGTAAAGAGCTTCCAGGTCAGAGTGCAGAGGGCGTGTGGGCGGGGGATGGGGCTGCAGTCAGGCCCCAGGAGGTCTCTAGGTTGAAGAGAGAGCCGAAAGGTGGCTGAGACCAAGGTGACCAGGGCTCTCAAAGAAAAGTGCCGGAGCAAAGAGGGACGCCGGAGAGAATGCGGAGATCTCTGTCCACAGTTCCCAGTGAGTACCGATGAACAGGAGAGTGAACAGACTGCAGACATCAGTAAAAACCAAGTGAAAGGGGGCCGGGGGATTTAGCTCAGTGGTTCTGCTACTGCCTGGCAAGCGCAAGGTCCCAAGTTTGATCCCCGGTACTAAAAAAAAATCCCAGACAACAAAAAAATCAAAAACAGAAAACCAAGTGAAAGGGTTAGAGGGGGACACTCGCCGCAGTTTATACAAGGCTGAGCATTGCTTCTGTTTCCCTCAGACTGGAAAACTGTAGCGTTCTCAGAGGGCTTTCCCATTGATAGTGCAGAATAATTAGCCATAGAAGAAATTCTTCTCTTAACCCCCTTTTTTCAGCACTGGGGATTGAACTCAGCGCCTTTACACTGAGCTACATCCCCAGCCCTTTTAATTTTTTTATTCTGAGACAGGGTCTTGCTAAGTTGCCCAGGCTGGGCTTGAACTTGTGATTATCCTTCCTTGGCCTCTTAGAGGCTGGAATTATAAGCCTGCACCATCACGCCTGGCTTCTTACCCATTTTTAAAAAGCTTAAAGGCAAGACTCTGAAAGGACAGAGAAAAAGGAAAACACTACCCCTACTGAGCAGAGAAAATAAAATCGCCCCACAAATGACAAGCAGTTATGGTAACTGTATCCAACACAGGAAAGCTACAGGAAAGGGCTGGGATTTAGCTCAAAAAAAAGAGAAGAAGCTACAGGAAAGATCGAACATAGTAAATAGAGGCCTGGACACAGGAAAAAGATCTAAATCACACTTCTGAGATGAAAAGAAATCTACAGTGTCTTCAGTGGCATACACTGGAATAGATTAAGTATCAGTTATAATTT